CAGCAGGAGAGAGCAGAGGAGGGGTCACAATTGCAGCAGTAGGTGCAGTTGCAGCCGCAGCAGGAGAGAGTAGAGGAGGAGTCACGAGTGCAGCGGCGGGTGCAGTTGCAGTCGCAGCAGGAGAGAGTAGAGGAGGAGTTACGGCCGCACCAGGAGAGGGTAGAGCAGGAGTCCCGCCTGCAGCAGCATGTGCAGTTACAGACACAGCAGGAGAGAGTAGAGGAGTCACGACCGCAGTAGGAGAGGGTAGCGCAGGAGTCCCGGACGCAGCAGCGGGTGCAGCTGCAGCCGCAGCAGGAGAGGGTAGAGGAGGAGCCACAGGAGCAGCAGCAGGGGCAGGTACCGTCACAGCAGATGCCAGAGGAGGCGGAGCGGCAGCGACTGCACGACCTGCCCGACCCAGCACCTGCGCGCTTGGTTCGTGGTCCCCTACCGTCCCCTCCTGTTCCCCCCGTTCAGTCCCTTTCCTCGTCCCAGCGGACTCCTCAGTCGTGCTGTGTCTCCAGAGCCCCGTCGTTCTCGTTACCGTGCTGACGGCCCATTTCACCTTGTACTCCGCTCTCGTGTTCCACCTCCTCTGGTCCTTCCACAGCCTCCTGAGTCGTCCCTCACTGTCCGTTGTCCGACTACCTCCGTGCCTCCCGTCCTGTCGTCTCTCGTGTTCTGTCCGCGTTGGTCACTCACCCGACTGCCCCTCTGTCGTCTGTCTCAGCCCTTGTTACCACTGTCGCTGGCTTTGCCTCGTCCCACCGTCTTGATTACGCCTCCCACCTGGTGAGCGGCACTGCTCGTTCTCCGTCCACTGGGGGTGTCCATGTTTTTCCCCTGGAGGTCCTGGAGGACAGGCAGTTCGAGCTTCGTTTCCTTGCGGCCGCTGTTCCTCTTCTCTGCGCCATGCTGCTTGCCCCTGAGGGGGATCCAGGCGCTCTTGACATCCCGATCCCTCGCAATCACGCTGAGGCGGTCTCGGGACCTTGGGCCTCGTACTGGATAGCAGCTGAGGAGGCATAGATGGCATCTTATAGGTCCACAGGCACCTACGTTGACGCCGTCCCACCACCTGGGACATGGCATATGGCATATGGCTCTACAAGGTGAAGCGGCCGCCTGGATCACCACCGGTGTTCAAGGCGCGCTATGTGGCGAGAGGCTTCAGTCAGCGCGAGGGGGTAGACTTCTTCCAGACCTTCGCTCCCACCCAGAAGATGACCACTCTTCGGGTGTTTTTGCACATTACAGCTCAGCGCGACTACGAGTTACACTCCTTGGACTTCTCCACAGTGTTCCTTCAGGGGAGCCTGCACGAGCAGATCTGGCTGCGTCGCCCGCCTGGCTTCACTGGCTCTTTCCCTCTTGGGACCCAGTGGCAGCTGCGTCGACCCGTCTACGGCCTGCGCCAGGCTTCCAGTGAGTGGCACGAAACACTTCGCATGACACTTGCCGCGCTTGAGTTCTTTCCGTCGTCTGCTGACCCATCGCTCTTCGTCCGCCGTGGCTCGACCCCGTTCTTTGTTCTTGTTTACGTTGACGACCTGGTCTTCGCCTCTCCCGACCGACACGCACTGGCCTCCGTGAAGGAGGAACTGCAGAGGAGACACACTTGCACTAACCTTGTTGAGCTGCAGCGCTACCTTGGTCTGCAGATCACCAGGGACAGGGCAGCTCGCACCATTACGCTGACGCAGTCGCATATGGTCGAGCAGATGCTCACGCGGTTCCGCTTCCCGTTCTCCAAGGTACAGCTCACCCCTCTTGTTGTGGATCATGGGCTCACGGCTCCACCTTCGGACGAGCCATTTGAGTCCAGCGGTCCATATCCTGAGCTGGTGGGTTGTCTCATGTACCTGATGACCTGCACTCGCCCAGACCTAGCTTACCCTCTTAGCGTCCTGGCGCGCTTTGTTGCGCCTGGGAGACACCAACCTTCCCACTGGTACACGGCTAAGAGGGTGGCAAAGTATGTGGCGAGTACATTAGGCATGGGACTTGTCCTTGGAGGGAAGCAGCCAATTACACTTACAGGTTACTTCGACTCGTCGTGGGCCGACGACGCAGAGGCGCTGCGGTCTACACAGGGTTACTGTTTCGTGGAGGTCGACTCGGGCGTCGTCAGTCTCCAGTTCCAGCTGTGAGGCAGAGGTGTACGCTGCGGCCATGGCCGGCCAGGAGCTTCGCTGGCTGTCTTTCCTCCTCACCGACCTTGGTGACCGGCCTCGCTCTCCCCCGGTCTTGTTTGCCGACAACAGGTCTGCTGTCCTGTTGTGCGATGAGCCCCGACTGGTTGGGAAGGCGAAGCACATCCAGATTCGTTACTTCATTCTGCGCGAGTTTCAGCAGCGTGGCCAGGCACGCGTGGTCCGTGTGGTCTCTGAGGCCAACACTGCAGACATCTTCACCAAGGCGTTGCCGCCTTGTGACCACCAGCGTTTCTGCACCCAGCTTGGCCTTGTGTCTACTGGCCCTCACTTGCTTGCGTAGAGATGCATTGTCTTGTACTCTTGCATCTCACTACATATTCTATATTTGTGCTTGTGGACAGGCCTTGTGGCCCCTTGCTTCTCTAGAGATGCTTGTATGCATGTCTTGTACTCTTGCATCTCTTATATCTGCTATATACTTGCATGTGGACTGGCCTTGTGGCCCCTTGCTTGTTCTCGACTGTGTGGTGATCTTGAGATCCACCCCGAGAGTTGTTTTGTTCTTGTGAACAGGTCTTGTGACCGTTGCTTGTTCTTGTTGATTGGTCCTGTGACCCTTGCTCTTGGGTTGTGTGTTGCTCTCCACAGGACTACTGTCACCTAGACTATGGGGGTGTGTCAAACTATATTTCTATAGTTATGTTAGTTCCAGTGTAGGTATATTCCGTTGTGCTAGGGTTGGGGTTAGCCTTGCATATATCTTTCCTGTTTTGTTCATTGTTAATCATTTATTCTCACATTGTAACAGAACGTCGTCGAGGCTGCGATGGCGAAGGCGACTTCGGGCTGGTATCCCGATGTCGATGTGGCTCATCAGGCGCAGACAACAGCCGAGATGACGAGTGAGTGTGCATGTCGATCCAACCGTCTGCGAGCACCTGCGAAGTAGGCGCGAGCGTGCGCACTGCTGTCATCTGCGGGGTGCAACGTTGGATGGCCGCCTTGTTGCAGCGTTGGCACGCCGTCGACCTGCTCTGTTGGCAGGCCGCCTTTTTGCAACGCTGGCGTGGTTCCTCTACGCAACGCTGGCAGGCTGTCGACCTTGCTATGCTGGCGGTCGACCTGCCTGGCCGCTAGGTTGCTAGGCTCTGATGTAATATTTCTTGGAATTGTCATTCCAATCATTCTAAAGTGCAACTTTCCCTAGTGAAACTCTTGTCAAATTGCTCTGTGAACACACAAGTGCTAGAGAACGTAAGGAACGCTACGATCACTCCTAGAACCCGTGCCTTCCCCCGTAGTCCAGCTCCTGGTGTAGAGTGACTCTTCGCATGGTGCGGAGAGCGTGGACGGCCCCGCGAGATACCTTCAGACTAGTAGCCGACGTATCACTTACTTAAGTCGTTCGTAGGCCGGCAGCCCGTGCATACCATGATGCCTATCCCGGCAGCGGCCGGCGCGATAGAGGACACCTTGGAGGCACGGTTGGTTGATGCAAGGAGATGCCACGAAGCTGGCGAGTTCGGGACCGTCCTCCCCTTGGAGGTGGTTGTTCTGGGCATCCGTGCGCAGTGGGCGACGGATCACCCGTCCCGAGCTGCCTCTCCTCGATCGGTGCGAAACGAAGGCGGCATCGACGAGGAGGTCGACGGCGGTGACCATGTCGGCGGCATTGAGGGCACGAAGGAGAGAGGAGTGATCAGGTCCGCCGACGTCGCTCTCCTTAGCGCAGCACTGGGAGGCCCATGCCGCCGACGCATGTGACGGCGGGCGGTATCGCGTCGGCGTACGGCTACTTCAAGTTCTCGCCGGACAAGATCGCCGTGCCAGTGCCGCTACAAGGTCGGCGGGACCTCATCACGTAGAAGGAGGCTATCGAGCCTCAGCTGGAGATCGCCGAGTTGAAGGGCTTCGACGAAGGCGACGTGCCGACGCCGCACGAGGACGACGTCGAGCTCCGCGCGGAGTTTCATGCCGCTCACCTGCTGACCTTCATGGTCATCTGGAGGTGCTGCTCGCCGATGGTGCAGATAGCGCTGAAGCCGTGTTGGCTTCGACTGGACTCTGGCCAGCAGGCATGGTGGTTCGTCCTGTCGACGTACTAGGCGACGAACGACCTGTACATCGCCAGCTAGAGGAGCAGCTGACTCACCTCTAGATGGGCGAGCAGGCTTCGGCGACGGACTACTGCAACCGTGCTCGACGGATCCTCGCTGAGATGCGGATGGCGGGCGTCGACTACTCGACGGCGTCGTACATCACGCACGTCGTAAAGTTTTTCCCGAGAGGCTACAACCTCATGCGCCCGATGTTGGATATGCTCGGCATGCGGAGCTCGCTCGACGAGGACACACTTACTAGCCACATAATCAAGGATGAGGCGATGCAGGAACCAGAGCGTGTTACGAAACGAACTTAACTAGGCGCCGGGTTTAACTAGGGCCTAGGCTTAGAAGCCTAGGCCAAGCGGGTGACGAGGGTGGCGAGAGCAAGGGTCAAGAGCATTCACCAAACAAAGTGTGTTTCACTTTAGTTCGGCAGGTACAAATATGCAAGTCAAGCATGCAAAAGGTGCACCACCAACAGCAAGGTAACATAACTACACTAAAGCTAAAGCTACAGGCAGTTATAAATATATATAAATTATATATCGCGACACACCCCCTTAACTGCCTGCAGCACATAGCTAGAGGAAGTCACACCCCTTGAAGGGGTATAGCAGGCGTAGTGGAAGACGGCAGAGAGGTAAGTGAGGAGGAGGAGGCGAGAGAGAGAGAGAGAGGAGAGGAGATAAGAACAAAGGAGAAGGTGAGTGAGGGATGAGGAGAGGAGGTGGGGGGGTGGCCGCGGCGTCCCCTCTTACTAACCCCCTTTTACGAAAGGGGGGGTGAGTGGGGGATGAGGAGAGGAGGTGGGGGGGTGGCCGCAGCGTCCCCTCTTACTAACCTCCACATCCCCACCCCCAATCAACCACCCCCCTTGAACCTCACCCCCTATTTCAGCCGCCCCCTTGGAACAGCACTCCCTCCCCCCCCTTCCTTCCTCCAGCCCCTGCCCCACCCAAACGTAGTTCCTGCAGTGATCTTCACACGGCGGCTTGCCCCCTCTCCCCCACCCCCCGTCCCCGCCACCTCCCCCCCACAGCAGCAGCCGCGGGAGGGGAGAGGCAAGGTAGAGGGTGAGGCTGCAGTGGTTCACAGCGGCCACCCCCTCCACGCCACCTTCCCCCCCACAACCGCAGTCGCGGAAGGGAAGGTGACGGGGGAGGGGGCGGGGTGACAGGCGGGATCTGACGGCGTGCGGGAGATGGGCTGCAGCAGTCGAGGGCACGCGAGCGCTGGTGCGATCGCCGGTGCGCTGGCGGTCGTCGCTGGTGTTCCGCCGCCACTCCCTTCCCCCCTTCCCTCTTCCCCCCACAACGTTCCGCCGCCACTCCCTTCCCCATTTTCCTCTCCTCCCCACAGCGGTCCGCCGCCACTCCCTTCCCCTCCTCCCTCTCCTCTCCACAGCGTTCGGATGCCACTCCCTTCAACTCCTCCCTCTCCCCCCCACAGCGACCGCCGCTGCACACGCGAACAGTCGCGACGGGGAGGGTGACGGGCAGGGGCCGGGGGGAATGCGACGGGCAATGGGAAGGCCGCGAGCGAGCTCGTCGCCGCGCCCGTTACGACGGGAAGGTGACGACAGGCGACGGGGCGAAGACGACGGGAGAAGCGCGGCGGGACGACCGCGAACGAGCTCGCCGCCGCACCCGTTACGACGGTCGCGAGCTTCGCGATCATCGTTAGAGAGGCGACGGGGGTCGCTACTAAGGGCGCGGCGGGCGCCATGGAACGAAGACAAATTGGTGGGCCCATGAGGATATTAAAGCTCTGATAACATGTTACGAAACGAACTTAACTAGGCGTCGGGTTTAACTAGGGCCTAGGCTTAGAAGCCTAGGCCAAGCGGGTGACGAGGGTGGCGAGAGCAAGGGTCGAGAGCATTCACCAAACAAAGTGTGTTTCACTATAGTTCGGCAGGTACAAATATGCAAGTCAAGCATGCAAAAGGTGCACCACCAACAGCAAGGTAACATAACTACACTAAAGCTAAAGCTACAGGCAGTTATAAATATACATAAATTATATATCGCGACAGAGCGACCCACGGAGCTCCTTCCCCAGGCGAACTACGCCGCCCCAACGAAGCAAAGAAGTTGAAAGGGGCAACGCGTGAAGCCGGGCGGAGGTGGTAGCGATGGTGGGAGGTCGACGAAGGACGTCGACCATGCGAAGTCGACGAGGGACAAGAGTCGCGGATGTGGTGGTCGACAGCGGGAGTGCTGGATCTGCGGCGACCCCGACAAACTCTCCTTCGAATGTTACGATCACCACATCAGCGACAAGGATGTCAACAAGGGAGGCCGCGGACGGTCGGCCAGTCGTCGTCCGCGTCAAGATGAGAAGCCGCGCAAGGAGAAGAAGGCGTCGAAGAAGACGTTGTCGACGAAGGACGTCGACTCCTCCAGCGGCAAGGGCCGAGGTGACGGGTAGGCGTCGTGCTCAATGGTCGGCCCGGTGGAGCCGACTCTCTCGCTTGCGTAGGAAGCAGGGGATGACTTCAAGGCGGTCGCAGCCGCCGTGCAAGCGAATCCGATGGTGGTACTGCTCGAGAGCGGCTGCTCACACTACCTGATGGGGTTGAAGGAGGTCTTCGTCGACATGGCGCCGAGCGGCGATGTGAAGCATGTGCGCGGCTTCAACGGGGCTTTGCAGACTGTCGAGTGCTGCGGCACTGTCGCTCTGCAAGGGGAGGCTGGGAAGCAGGTCCTCATCCCCGACGTGCTTTACGTCCCGAGCATGCAGGCGAACATTCTGTCAGCCGGCCAGCTGCAGCGGTGTAAAGCTGCAAGACGACGGCGACAAGATGCTGCTTGTGTCGAGTGCATGTGAGGCACTCGGTCGAGCACGCTACACTGGCCGCGTCCTCTGCACCGACCTTCGCCCTTGCTCGACGCGCTCGCCGTCGGCCGAGGTGGTGGCTCTGCGGACGATCGCTTCAATGACAAAGTCGACCCCCGACAGGTGGCACGCGAGGCTCGCGCACGTCGGCGTCGACACGATCAAGAGTTCGGCGGAGCACGAAGCCGCTACCGGCCTCGACATCAAACCGTCGACCTGAGCTGATTTGCCGTATGTCTCATGCGTCGGCGGGAAGCTGGCGCGGCACACCTTCCCCGACAAACGCTCGGACGCCAAGGAGGCTCTGGCTGTCGTGCACATTGACTTGTGCGGGCCACTCCAGGTGACCGCCAAAGACGGCAGCCTGTATTTTCTCCTACTAAAGGACCGCCACACCCGGTATGTGTGGGTGAAGCTGGTCGCTAAGAAGAGCGACGTTCTGCGGGTGTTCGAGAAGTGGCTGCTTGTCGCGGAGCGGTAGACGAAGAAGTTGGTGCTGATGCCCTGCTCTGACCGCGGTGGCGAGTTCCTATGGAAGGAGTTCACCAACTTCGTCGACGGGAAGGGCATCGTCCACGACTTGACATGCCCTTACACCCCACAGCAGAACGGCATGGCCGAGCGGGAGATGCGCACGGTCGTCGAGGCCATGCGAACGATGTTGTTGCACATCGTGGTGCAGCACCATTCGTGGCACCTCGCCTTACGGCAAGCTGTCTAGGTACGCAACTGCTTGGAGCGGTCGACGATGCCACCGGGGAGGACACCGTACCAGCTGCTGACCGGCAAGAGGCCCGACCTCACGATGGCGCGGGTGTGGGGTTGCATGGTGCAGTTCATGGTCCCCGAGCTGCAGCGCGGTAGGAAGCTGGCGCCAAAGGCTCGCTGGGGGCTTCACCTCGGTATGTCGCCGGAGAGCAAGGGCTGGGAGCTGCTCGACTTGACCGACAATAAGGTGGTCACGGCGGTGGAGGTCATCTTCTACGAGACGCTGCCGTTGGAGGTGTAGAAGGTGAAGTATGGGCCGGCGTTCGGGCGGACGCAGGTACGTCCACCGACGGACACCTCGACGGTGACTTTCCCGCTGCTCGCCTCAGTCAACATGTTGATGCAGACGTCGAGGAAGTCCAGCCCTCTCCTCCTCCCACTTTTCCCGCTTCTCCACCTATTGTCGGCGACCTACCTGCGCCGACACCGTCGTCGGCCACCCGCGATGAGGGGAGCCTTGAGGCGTCGCCTGTGGCGCCAGCCAGTGTCATCACCGGCGGCCGACGTGATGCCAAGCTCGTCGAAGAGGGTGTGCGGACGTCTACGACAGGGGAGCGGCGGACAAAAGAGTTGGTGGAGAAGGAGGCAGCAGAAGTGCCGCCGACAGGGGAGCAGCAGCCGGGGAAGTTTCCAGGGGAGCTGTCGACGAAAGAGAAGCCGGCCAGCGGGCCGATGAGAGGGGAGCAGCCGGTCGAGGGACCGACGCTGGAAATGCAGCTCGTCGACGACGAGGCCGTCGACGATGAAGGGGAGCTGTCGGCGGGAGAAGAGTCTACCAACAGCGACGTGGTGGAGGTTCTGGTCGAGAAGCCGGAACTGCGACGCTCAGGCCGAAGTCGGATGCCGCCGGAGCGGCTGAGTTTTCACACCTGACTGCCACCAGTCGCCTTCACTACGCTGCTCGACGACGCTGAGGCCGACGTCGACCTGCCCGAACTCGACCCTGTGCACGCCGACCCCGATCACCGCTGGGACATCGCGACGGTGATGGTGAAATAGGCGTTGGCGAGCTGGAAGGGCAAGGCGGTGAAGGCCGCCATGGAAGAGGAGATCCGCATCCTCTTTGGCAACGGCACGTGGGAGCTGGTCGAACGCCCGCGCTGTGTGAACATCATGAAAAACCGGTGGGTGCTGATGACGAAGTACCACATCGACGACACGGTCGCCCGCGAGAAGGCGAAATTGGTCGTGAAAGGGCTTCACGCAGGTGTACTGCGCCGACTACGACGAGACGTACGTGCCAGTCCGGAGCTACGTCACGCTGAGGATCTTCCTGAGCATTGTCGCCGTCCTCGACTTGCACCTGATGCAGCTCGACATGAAGAACAGCTTCCCGTAGAGCAAGCTCGACAGGGTGCTGTACATGTACCTGCCGGAGTGACGTGGTGGGTGCTCGTCTACGTCGATGACCTGCTCGCTGCCAGCAGCAGCACCGCGATGTTGAAGGAGCTGAAGGAGCTGCTGGAGGCCGCCTTTTGAGCTGCGCGAGATCAGCCCCGTCGAGAAGTACCTTGGACTGGAGATCGTGCGCGACCGACTGGCGAGGAAGCTGTGGTTGTACCAGCAGTCGTACGTCCACAAGCTGCGCATGCGCTTCATCGACGAGGAGCAGACCGGGCGAATCCCGAAGACGCCGGTCTCTGTCGATGCCTACGCCGAGCTGACGTTCGACGACGAGGATGCTCAGGCGAGCGAGGAGGAGGAGTACCGGCAGAAGGTCGGCTCGCTGCAGTTCGCGGAGACGACGACGAGGCCGGACATCGCTTTCGCGTGCAGCAAGCAGGGAAGCGGCCTCACGGTGAGGAGCGACAAGCACCAATGTGAGGTCGACCGCTGTCTCGCCTACCTCGCCGACACCCGTGACGCCGCTCTGGAGTTCGGCGGCGAACCAGAGCCGCTGATTCTGGTCGGCTACGTGGACGCCGGCGATGCCGTCGACAAGCAGAACGGGACGAGCACGGGCGGCTACGTGTTCAACTTCGGAGGTGCCGCCATCTCCTGGTCGAGTCAGCGCATCAAATAGCGACTCTTTTGTCGACCGAGTCGGAGTATGTGGCGGCAATCGAGGCTGGCAAGGGGGAACGCCGACTTCGCTTCTTCCTCGCCGAGTTCCAGCTGCTGGATGCTGGGACGCCGACTGTCCTTCGTGTGGACAACACGTCTCCCATCACGGTCGCTGAGGGCTTGGCGCTGAAGGCCAACCTCAAGCACATGAAGCGACGCTACGCCTGGCTACAGCAGATGGTGAAGCGCGGGATGTTCGTGCTGTGGTACATCCCGACCACCGAGCAGCCGGCTGACTTCGTCATTCCAATCATTATGTATTGCAACTTTCCCTAGTGAAACTCTTGCCAAATTGCACTGTGAACGTACAAGTGCTAAAGAACGCTAAAGAACGCTTTGATCACTCCTAGAACCCGTGCCTTCCCCCGTAGTCCAGCTACCGGTATAGAGTGACTCTTCGCAACTACCCATAAAATTTTCCATTTCATTTCATATGCATCAGTCAACCCAGCCCGAGCAGGTTTCCCTCCACTCCAGCAGCACTTTTGCCCTTTGCCTAGCCGTTATCCAGTGAGTGTTTCTGGCGACGCTAGGGCGGGTCATACAAAATGAACGAATCCGACCCCAGTTCGGAAAAAAAACACCAAATCGAGTAGTGTCCGCTTCGTGCTCAGAAAGGACACCCTTCTGTGGAAACTAATCGATCGAAGAGGACATATTTCTATGCGCGAAAAAATTGCCATTGTAAGGCGTAACATGGAAATGTTAACCACAGTAGCTGGTTGGATTTCGAGGGGAAAGGGCTAGAGATGTTGTATGTTCGCGAAATCACATATGTCGTTAAATTCGTCGAGGTCGATTGGCGAGGGTGTAGTGGATTCATGAGCGGAAGAATTGCGAAAGTCAAACACAAACTACTCGTGCACTTATTGTGATGTCGCACTTTCTTGTGGAGCACCTTGCTGCTGCTGCTGCGGCTGCTGCTGCTGCTGCTGCTCCTCCACCTCAGGTTCTCCCCCATCCTCAGTCACCCCAGAAATCTCCTCCTCTGAGACAGTGACCTGCAC